GTATAATTACTCCATGTATAAATCTGTACTGTTCACTATTTGGGTCTAGATGCCCAAAATTCACCTTTGAGTGAATCATTCATTCAATTATTTAGAGTTTATCTTATATTTAACTAATATATGAATATGAAATTCTCAGTATTTTACTTTTGTCAACTAGATGAACATTTTTAAACCACTATGTGTTCCAATAAACCTGGATATGAAACCCTGATCATTTAAAAATAAGTTTGCTGTCATTTGAAAATCAGTCATGCTGCTATGGCTAGCACATGTAACAGCCTCTTAGGTGACTCTTAGATATTTATATTGGTTGGTTCTCATTACATATGAACAATGTGTTCTGAAGTGGCCCTGGAAGAATTCTAGAGGTGAAATTTTTAGCAACGAGGGTGCCAGCATGTACCCCACTATTAGATGGGCTATGAATCCTTCAAGGTCTCAGACTGTCTTTAGATTTGTGCCCTGGTGCCTGGCACAGAGCCTAGAACATGATGGTGATGATGGTGATGACATGATTATGATGGTGGTGATGGTGGTGATGGTGGTGATGGTGGTGGTGGTGATGGTGGTGATGGTGGTGGTGATCATGATAATGATGATGATGAAGATGATGATGAGTACTGAACTAAACTGAGGACCTGAGAACTGGATTAGAAAGTGGAGACTATGTGTTATTTCCCCCTTGCTCTGAAATTTATTAATTTTACTGGTGATTGTGAGTAATTACCTAATCTTATTACCAGTTTTTACCTTCTTTAGAATAAATATATCACCACCTTTAATCTTTCTCACATGTGTTAAGAGAACTCAAGAGCACTTAAGATACATCTTATCAGAAGTGAAACATAAAGAGGCCATATCAATTGTAAAATAGCTGGGAAAGGAAATAACCCAAATACTGAGGTGTATTACCACAGGCAGCCACACATCTAGGTGCCAGACATTTTGCATATATTTTCTGGTCTTCATACCCATCAAATATAATAATATTATTGCTAGAACAAAGATTATATTATGTAATAATGAATGAGAAACCTGAGGCTTAAAGGGAAGCTAAGAAACTTTCCTAAGTTCATGCAGTTAGCAAATGGTTCAACCAAAAATTACAGTTCTGACACCAAAGCTCCTGGACTTTCTCTTAAATTAAGCAGGAGAAAGTATCCTTAGTCATATAATCTCACAAATATTTAACTAAAATTGTGATGAATGCTGTTTTATATATATAATATATAATGCTGCTATGTGTATATATACTCATATCATAATCACAGATGATATACAGGCATATACACATCTATATTGTGAGATATATAATCAGAGATCAGGGAATGAGTAAGCTGACATTAAAGCTGATATCTGAGGAATGAGCATGCCTTTATCCAAAGAAAGAGAGGAAGAACTTCAAACGTTCTCTCTCACCCTACACAGAATACCACATTTTGTCCTTTTGAGAGCTTGTGAAGGCAATGAAAAGAATGCCATTTTCTACTATAAGCATTCCCTGTGCTGTTTTAACAGTTGAAACACTGGATGCATCGTGTCCAGAAATATTCTTTCTCAACCTCATGAGGCCACGAAGCATGAGGCACTGACTAAGGGCTGGCAGCTGGGTTCGAGATGAACCCTGTGGACAACTCGCGACGCATGTTCCAGTCAATAGACAAGTCCGCCCTGAGAGGGCGGCTTCCCTTATCAGCCCTGTGTGTGCTTTGCTACAAAAGCTATTTTGCAACTTTCCAGAGATAGTCCTTCCTGTTTATCAGCAGAGACTCTTCCACATAAATGCTTTTTTTTTCCTGTTTGATTGAGACTGAAATGATATTATTACTCACTGGAAGTCGTTTGAGCTTTCAACATTTCTCAGCCCCTGATAATTTTAACACTCAAATGCTTCTTATCAACAGAGCGAAAGTTCAGTCGACAGTAAAGATTGGTTATCGATGTCAGAGTATCTTTTGGGAAAAAGGAAAGATACAACAAAATCCCAGTGAAGCTTTTTACTAGTGCAAGGGTCACAAACTCAGATATTCTGGTCGCCAGGAGGGTAACTCAATGAGAAATAAGTCCAGTAGGCACTGTTGATCTGAGCTCTGTGTCCTATCTGAAGGGTCATCAGGACTCAGGACCAGGCCAATTCTATGCAGGAATTAGGTCAGTGTCACCAGATGTCCAGGTTTTGTTGGTTTTGTTTTTAAGAGAAACCAGCAATCCAGATTCTTATATAATATCTCCATGTTGTTAATGTTGGCGTTGAACTTGTTTTAACACCATGCAGTTCTAATGAAACGTACCCATGAGTGACTTGATGACCTTGGTTCTAGCTGCGGGACCTTAAATCCTAAGAGTTCAATAAACAGTCATCCAGCTCTTGTCCGTGCCAGGTACTGTGACAGGCACCAGAGATTCTAAGACAAATGCAACCCAGCACCTGTCTTAGAGGACCTCGCTCGGGTCGCATGTGCAGGAGGCAAATAATTACTATCTAGAAGGATAAGGTGAAATTAATCGTGGAATATCACACATATTCAATTAAAAATCGTGACATGTGTTGTAAAATAAAAATGTGCATAGCGCAGTGAGAGATCAGGGAAGCAATAAGCTTGCATTTAAGTTGACATCAAGCATGAGCACACACTTATCCAAGGCAGGAAGGGAAGAAGAGCACCCTGGGCAGAGGGAATATCGTCTGCAAAGACCTGAGGGAGGAGGGAGCGTTGTGGATCAGTCCAGGGAACCAAAGGGGCCCGAGGGAGTGATACACAATGTACAGGGGAAAGAGTCACACGTAATAGAATGGAGAGAGAAGTAGGGATAGATCATTGTCAGGATTTTAAGCAGGAGCATGGCAAAGTAAGATCTGGGACTTTAAGGAATCATTCTGTCTACAGAGTGGGAAACAAAGCAAGGCTAACAAGCCAATAGTGGAGATAATCAGGAATCATAAAAAATACTCAATCCAGCCCTGGTTGGGTGGCTCAATTGGTTGGAGTGTCCTCTGTACACTAAAAAGGTTGTGGGTTTGATTACAGGTCAGGGCACATACCTAGGTTTCAGGTTCTAGCCTCAGTTGGGACATGTATGGGAGGCAATGGATCAATATTTCTCTCTCACATCTCTCTCTCTCCCTCTCTTTCCCTCTTTTCCTCCCTCCCTTCCTCTCTCTGTAAAATCAATAAAAACATATCCTTGGGTGAGGAATAAAAAAATATTCAACCCAAGAAAAATCAAGAAAGAAGAGAAGGAACAAAGACCAGATGGACAAATACCCAAACATATAAATAATTATATTAAAAACAAATGGGAAGAACAATACAACTAAGAGACAGATTGTAAGGCTGGATAAAAAGCAACACCCAATTGTATGCTGAACTCAAGCAATCCACTTTCAATTAAAGACAAGATAGGTAAAACAATAGAGGATAGAAAAGATATATCATACTAACACCAATCAAGCACAAGGGGGTATACATAATATATTATTCCATTTTTATTACATTATTGGAAAAAAAATACAGTGACAGAAAGCAAATCAGTGGTTCTCTGGGCCCAGAGGGTGGGGACAGCATTGGCCAGGAATGGCACAGGAGGCAGAAGTTTTGGAGTGTAGAGATGTCTTGTACCTTGATTGTGTATAGGACTGAACACATTTGTCAAACCTCAACAGATATACTTAGAATTGGTGCCTTTTATTGTATATAATTTATAACTCAAGAAAGATGGTGAAAGGCAGGGAGGAATAAAGAGGAGAAGAAAATAAACAGGGAAAGGGTAGGAAAAACAATAAAGCATTTTTGTTTTCAAAGAGTACAGTCACTTCAGTAAGAGTAGCCCTTTACCCCATCATAGAAAACATTTTAGGGTTGTTTTTTTTTACCCAATTATCTGCCCACATCTACACTCTGAAGGTCTCACCTTCCACCTCAAGGAATTTATCAAGCTCTGGTACCAAAGATAACTGTACCCCAAAGGGAAATTCTGATAACAGTTGGTGATAGTGAAACTTTCACCCAATCAAATGAGGAATGCCTCAAACAGGGGAAGCTGCCCAGCCCACTTGGCTATCTATGACGCTGACCTCTCCCTTTCCTGACCTCACTCGCTCCGTCTCTAGCCCCATCTTCCTTCTGTGGTTGAAAGCCACACCCAACCCTCTGCAATTCTTTTAATCTTCAGAATCTCAATTCCCTCTCTTCAATAAGGAAGACCAATTTCTACATCCTCCCCCTCTCCCAGCAGCAGAGAAAAATGAGTAGGCATCAAAGTGTTAATGGTGGGTGTTTGGGTACACAAAGGACCAAAGCAAGACATCCAGCAGAGAAAAATGAGTAGGCATCAAAGTGTGGGTGTTTGGGTACACAAAGGACCAAAGCAAGACATCTACATTTCAGAGGGTAGACACATTTCATACTCTAAGGACAAGTAGGCTGCCTAAGGGAGCCAGACTCTAAGACTCTGGGGAAGGACTTGGGACAACCAGGTGGTAGAGATGTGACAAAGCGGTAAGACAGGGCTGAGGGTGGCAGCAGTTGGAAAGAAGAAAAGAAAAACTTACAGATAAAACAAAACAATATATAAACAGCTTGGTGTATAGCTACATCCCATGCTAACAGTTGGTTACATGGAAGATGTCTCATCAAGCACCACAGAAAAGATATAATCCATTCTCATATTGTGAAATGATTCCCTGATCAGAGATGATTCAATTCTCTGATTACATTTGAATAATAATTATTTAGAGACCCTGGAAAATTAACTTCCTACACCTTAAATAATGTACTAGTAACATTTCTTATTCACGTCAGATCACATGGACTCAAAGCCTTACTCATTACATAGACATGGAAGTGGATGCAGTATGAATCTTTTCAAACAACGGAGGCTCGCTGTAGAAAGGCACAGCTACCTCTATAGAGGCCTCATGTTCCTCCAGCTTGAGAGTGATGGCACGGCGAGCCTCACGCACCGCCCAGGTGTTTTCATGACCTTTATTTCTCCAGGTGCCTCCTACTCTGACCACACGTTCCCGGCCGAGAAGCTGGATGATGCTGTAGCTCCCGGCCACGAATATACCTACGAGTGGGCCATCAGTGAGGACAGTGGGCCCACACAGGATGACCCGCCATGCCTCACCTACATCTACTACTCCTATGAAAATCTGATACAGGACTTCAACTCTGGGCTGATTGGACCTCTGCTTATTTGTAAGAAAGGTAAAAAAAAAAAAAAAGAACAATAGCAAAGCTGTTGGAGTGGTGAGGAGTACTATACTGGAAAGGCTTGGGGGAGGGGATCCTGGAACCTCTCAGCAAATCGAGCAGAGGGAGGAGGGTGGGAAGCAGACCATTGATGGACATTGGCATCAGAGGGACTGGAGTCCTCCTCTGGTCCTTCCAACCCCTCCTCCATCTCAGTCCTGGAGCCTTTCTGAGTAAATCCCTGTCTGGGAGTTGGTTCTGAGGCCACGCCTGTGTGGTCTGCATGTTTACCTCAAGGCCAAGTCTTCCTGCAAGTGTACAGCAGCCTGCCCTCTGCTGACAGCACTGGGGAAGAGCTTTGCCTAACGTGTCCGAGGTTTGGGTTGGTAATTTGGTCTCCAAACACACAAAACTCTAGCTTCCTTTCTCGTAAAGAGTGGGACACTTTGGGCAGCAGGTTGCAAACACACTAACTGACTTATAAGAAATTTCATCGTCTAGGCCTCTGAGGAGCCAGCTTGGATTTTCATTTTACCTGAAAAGAATTCAGCTCATCTTTCATGAAAACAAATGATCACACGAACTGCACTGTGGGAAATAATGGGATGAACTCGCCGTCTGTCTGCACAGACGCGCATACCATCCCTACATCAATTCCTAATCATTTATTCACTACACAAATACATGTGTTCCTTGCCTGGCATACAGAGGATACTGGGATGGCACACAAAAAATCAAAACTTATAAAAAGCTCTTCTTTCATTTTACTTTCAGCTGCATTTTGTCCTTATATGAGAATTCACCTTGACCCTCTCAACCAGTACTCTGGTGAACCATTCCATGAACAGCAAGGTGGCCAGACGAAACTTGGAGAGCTGGGCTTTTACCAACCAAGATCTGGTACCTGTGTGTTCGTCTGCTGACACAGGAGGAAATGATACTTTTGCCAAAATCTTGACAGTCACCAAATGTTTCCTCTCTATGTCAAGTCAAATTTATCTTCAAAGCCCCATTCCTCAAGGCTATGATGCGCCAGAGAAAATGTTTAATGTGGCAGCAAGATTTTCATAAGCCCCTAATCATCATTACTTGATAAAGATGCTATTTATTTTTATTTTTTTATTTTCATAGATTCTTAGAGAGAGAGGAAGGGAGAGGAGGGAGAGAGAAACATCAATGTGAGAGCTTAACATTAATCAGTTGCCTTCTGCACGTCCCCTACTGGGGATTGAGCTTGCAACCCAGGCATGTGCACTGACTGGAATCAAACCAGCAACCTTTCGGTGCATGGATGACGCCCAACAACTGAGCCACACCAGCCAGGGCAAGATGCTATTTTTAAAACAAGAATTTCTCCGAGTCGGCATCACTAAGATTGGTTGCTTGCCTTCAGCTCTGCCACCTAGGAACAGCAAATGAGAGTTTTCTACCTGGGATGCTATTGACAAGCACGTCTTTTCTTTCCCAGGCACCCTCACCGAGGATGGGAGTCAGAAGATGTTTGACAGGCAGCAGGTGCTCATGTTTGCTGTGTTTGATGAAAGCAAGAGCTGGAGCCAGTCATCATCCGTCATGTATACAGTCAACGGCTATGTGAATGGGACGATGCCAGGTAACGCGCGTTCCCAACAACACTAGACTCGTTAGTGCCTTAGACCTGCTGCTGTCCTCCCGCACTAAGAAAGGTGATCGTACCCATTACTTTCAACTCTTAATCAGGAAGGTAAGGTGATCTAGCTCAGTGGTCCTCAAGGTTTTATCATTTAAACGAATATTTTTATTGATTTCAGAGAGGAAAGGAGAGGTAGAGAGAGATAGAAACATCAATGGTGAGAGAGAATCATTGATCGGCTGCCTCCTGCATGCCCCCTACTGGGGATTGAGTCCACAACCCAGGCATGTGCCCTTAACCAGAATCGAACCCGGGACTCTTCAGTCCAAAGGCTGACACTCTATCCACTGAGTCAAACCAGCTTGGTTGAGATTTTGACATGTTTTTTAAACCAGCAAGTACAACAGGCAAACTGGAGGCTACTAAGGGAAGGGGTGGGCAGCAGTATTGGATGGAGAGCTCTGAGCAGGTTTCACCTGGGCCTTCACTTCCAGGAAGGCCTCCAGGATATCAGCTCAGTCTCCTTCAGTGGGTTCTGTGGCCCCTCTGCACAGTGACCCTGCCTTCAGCCACAGAGGAAGCCTTGCAGGACGGATGTTCAAGGTCAAGCCCTGGCAGGAAGGGTCAGCAGGGAGAAGTCTATAAAAATACGGTAAAGATGAGCAGGAGACTCGGAGAAATACCAGCCTACGGAAATACTTCTAGCACTTCAAACGGTGATAGATGAATACTATTCAAAGGCATTTAGGACCTTTTCTCTTTCCATCATAGCAACTGCTAAGAGAAAAGGACTGACTCCCACCTATACCACTTTTACTTCTATCTGATAGAAATGCTTAGAGCCAAAGATCCTGAGGAAAAAGCAGAAAAATGAAAATATTACTTTATTAAATTTCTCACGGGTCCTTCTCTATATATGAAAAATCACAAATGGCTTCACCTACCACCAACCAAACTTGTCAGGAGTTGAGGTCTGGACATTGCTTTCAATTGTTTTCTATTTCATTTCACTGCGTCTCTGCCTGGGCTACTACAAACACACCCCGATGACTCTCGGCTTTGATTCAGCATCCAAAACGTAGTTAACTGAGGCTCCTTGCTCATTTCACTACCTTAGTGTGGCCCTTGGCCGTTAGTTGTCAAGATGAGCTAACTTACAAAAATGATTAACCGTCTCTCCTGGGACAGATGGTAGTTAAGAATTTTTCACGTGTAAAATAGCATGCCCAGTACTATAGGCCTTCGAGAGGCATGTTCCAAGGAGAAGCTGTATCTGTGTCCTGGCCGATTGAATCATCTGCTAAATATGCAGAAGCCCCCAGAAGCAAACCATAGGCACAAAAATAAAAGTAATAACTTGATCAGGGCATGGAGTATATGAATTTGTAGTTGAAAAAGAGAGACCAGTTGGGGTTAAGAGGGGCAAGGAAGGGAAACGGCATGAGGAGAAACAGAGACGTTAATGCTTGTAAACAGCCTCACGAAGCATGTAGACTGAATAGCGGTGGTAAATGCTAATACAGATGTACTGAATGCTCCAGTTGATATGAGCATCTCTTTGGGGTGCTAAATGCTTCCACCAAAGCCTACCTTTCAGCTTCATTCTGAGGTTCTAGCTTCTTGTTCTCATCATGATGTCTGAATCCCTGTCTTGTTGTAATGGTCCCCCAAAAAAAGACAAGCCCTCAGCCCCTCTGTGGGTAAGAGGCTGATCCTCAGCCCCACGACCTTACCTCTAGGGTAGCACTTGCTGCAATGAGGTGTGACTGCTTGTATCTAGTGATTATGGATCTGAAACTTAAAACCCGGGCCAAGGAGAGAAGCCAGGGTTGGAATCTCCCACGCAGCAAAGGAGCGTTTTCCCAGTCGCTGTGGGGGCAAAGAAGGAGCAGAACTCAGCCTCTGCGCTCAGTTCCCATGACTCCGCCCATGAAGTGCTCCCAGGGGCCCAGCACATGAGGACTTGTCCTCTGCGTTTTAAGGAGAGCCTGTGACCCACGGAGTAATTCATTGCCGTCTCATTAAAGCGATCAGCAAGGGGTACAGGCGCAATCGGCAATCCTTAACCACCTTCACACTCTTCCTCAGGCAGAGCTTGCGCCTCTCTCTATCCTGCTGAGATGTTAGGCTCTGAACGCAGCCCTCATGGAGACTGGCGACTCCCTCCAGCTGAGCCCAGATTGGTTCTAGGTGACCAGCGGCCAGGCTTGCTCAGGACTGTCCTGGTTCTAACAGTGAAAGTCCTGCATCCGGGGAAACCCCTCGGTCCCGGTAACCCAGGGTGGTGGTCATCTACCTGGCTCCCTCCTTGGCCTAACCCCTTAGCAATCCCTGTCTCTGGACTAACGCCCCCTCTCACGGCTCTGCTCTCACTTCTGTAGTATCCCTCACCGCAATGAGTGGCAGCTGCTTGCTGGCCCACCTCTCAGATGTCTGCGTTTCCAGGGCGGGCACTACCGCTGAGTGTCTATTCCTCAGAACCTTGCACAATAGCAGCTACTCGATCCATTTGGGGTGAAGAAGTTCTTACCACAGAGTGCTGACTGCCTGGCTTTGCCCCCATCTCTCTTCCTCTCGCAGATATCACCGTTTGTGCCCAGGACCACATCAGCTGGCATCTGATCGGCATGAGCTCTGGACCAGAACTCTTCTCCATTCACTTCAATGGCCAGGTCCTGGAGCAGAACCATCACAAGGTCTCAGCCGTGACCCTCGTCAGCGCTACGTCCACGACTGCTAACATGACGATGGGCCCGGAGGGGAAGTGGATCATCTCATCTCTCATCCCCAAGCACTTTCAAGGCAAGACACGCTCCCAACAGTCTTGCTTATGAATGTAGGATCCTTCTTCCCAGGCGCTAACTCCCTCCTTATCCTTTGCCTTCTTAAGCCACCCACACTCCAGACATACCTGCCTTGGTCCCTCGGAAGAGAACTTACATTCTCCACTCTTAGATTTACAGCCTTACTTGGGGATAAAGGAAGGGGAGGAATCGACAAAGACTTTTTTAAATGAAGCAAAAGCTGAAGAGGTCTCTACTTCCTTGAAAGGAAAAGGGAGGAAGGAGAGAAATGCACATAGAGATGTTCTTTCTTGTGGTATTTAGCATGTAGCTAAAAGAAAGATCTGGATGCCAGAACAAGGCAAACGTGCAAATGTATAGAAGTGCCAAGTTACAGAAAGTGTAGAAGTTTTAACATGAAAAGACTGTGTTTTAGAACAAAATGAGCACAAAGAGGAACCCAATGACTGTACACTGAATAGCTCAAACCTAAAACCTAAGCAGCTGAGGAATGAGCTTGAAAGAGCATCAGTGAACTCTGGTGGGGGAAGGTCAGCCCAGGTTGTTATGTGGTTCCATGTAAACAAAATACTCATTGTTCTATTACACATAGTTGCTTTGAAACTATTGGGAGGAGGTTTCCTATAAATAGAGACTAAATTATAAGCAAGTGATATTAGTATAGGAAATTATTTTGTTACCAAAATAATATGTACAAGCAAAACACATAAGAAAGACGATTGGGACCATTTCATTTTATAAAAAAGATTTATTTTATTGATTTTTAGAGAGAGAAGAAGGGAAAAGGAGAGAGAAAAACATCGATGTGAGAGGGAAACATTGATCAACTGCCTCCTGCACACTCCCAACTGGGGATCAAACCCGCAACCTGGGCATGTGCCCTGACCAGGAATCGACCCTTTCAGTGCACAGGACAAAGCCCAACCAACTGAGCCATGCCGGCCAGAGCTCGGGTACTGTGGTATATTTTTGCACTGAGCAGTCAAAATTATATTTGAACTAATGAAGTTGTCACCCAAGTGATCATAAAACAACAAAACTAACATTGTTGAGGTTAATTGCTTTTGTATTAACTTACTTAATTTTTAACAATTTCATACAGTATTACTGTATTCTTTTGATTTTACAAATAAAGGGGCAGATGACAGGAAAAAGGAGAAGTCAACAAGACCTAAGTCATAGGGTCTTCAGGGTCTGGAAGCCACAGATGTTCCTGCTCTGGAAGAAGCAAAGGCAATCTTCCCAGATTTCCCTCCCAGCCTGTCCCCTCTCTCCCTTGCTTTCACCATTATCAGTTAACCTTTCCACCATTAAAAAGTTACAGTTTGGTCAGCTTTAATTCCTTCTCCCCAATTCTTTCACTGTCTGTATGTACTAACTCAGCTGGGATGCAGGCTCGCATCGACATTGAGAACTGTGCCAAGAAGACGCGGAGTCCTAAGGGGCTGACGCCCGAGCAGAGGCGGCACATGAAGAGGTGGGAATACTTCATCGCTGCGGAGGAAGTCATCTGGGACTACGCACCCTTCATTCCAGTGAACATGAACAAGTGAGTGGGGGGTTCTGACCACTGTGCAAAGGTTCAGGCATGTTCCATGGGGTCCTGGGTTCGCGGGTGAGGTGTCAGGAGTTGACAGCTCTCAAGGGATTACATGTTTTGGATTCCGTTCAGGTCTTGTTCAAAATCAACATGGAATTACCCCAAACTCACTAAAGGAAATAATAATAATAATAATAATAGCAGCTACCACTTGTCGAATGTTTGCTATTGTCAAGCACTGTGTTAAATCCTATCTAAGAGCTTCACTTTATCTCTAGAAGTGAGAGACAGCTCTTATTTATTAAGTAGACTAGAGGCCCGGTACACAAAAATTTGTGCACTCAGGGGGGTCCCTCAGCCCGGCCTGTGCCCTCTCACAGTCTGGGACCCCTCAAGGGATGACCACCTGCTGGCTTAGGCCCACTCCCCAGGGGATTGGGCCTAAGCTGGCAGTTAGACATCCCCCTGACAGCCTGGGCGCCCTCGGGGGATGTCCACTTGCCAGCGGGGAGCAGGCCTAAGCTGCAGTCAGACATCCTTAGCGCTGCTGAGGAGGCAGGAGAGGCTCCCGCCACCACCGCTGTACTGGCAGCCGTCAGCCTGGCTTGTGGCTGAGCAGAGCTCCCTCTGTGGGAGTGCACTGACCACTAGGGGGCAGCTCCTGCATTGAGCATCACTATTGCACATAGTGACCAGTCATTCCCAGTCATTCTGCTGTTAGGGTCAATTTGCATATTACCCTTTTATTATATAGGATAAAGGCCTGGTGCATGGGTGGGCGCTGGCTGGTTTGCCCTGAAGGGTGTCCCAGATCAGGGTGTGGGTCCTGCTGGAGTGCCTGGCCAGCCTGGGTGAGGGGCTGATGGCTGTTTGCAGGCTGGCCACAGCCCC